CTCAGAGGAACAAAATCAGCAAGAGAATACTGTTTCTTCATCTCCCTGTCCCATGACTTCACCCTGCACTTTTCAACCAGTCAGTGGTCTCCACACTTTGGCTCACTCCAAAACCCTTAAAAACCCTATCCCTAAACTTCTCTGGGAGACAGATTTGAGTTTTCTTCATGTCTCCTTAGTCGATGGCCCTAAGATTAAACTTCTTTCACTGCTGCAGCCCAGTGTCTCAGTGTATTAGTCTGTTTATGTTGCTGTAAAGGAATACCTGAGAAGGGCAATTTATAAAGAAAAGAGGTTTATTTTTCCCCAGGGTTCTGCAGGCTATATATAAGGAAGCATGATGCTGTCAACCACTTCTGATCAGGGCTTCAGGAAGCTTATGATCGTGGCAGAAGGTGAAGGGGAACCAGCGTGTCACATGGCAAGAGACAAAGCAAGAGAGATGCCAGACTCTTAAAACAGCCACCTCTCACATGGACTAATAGAGTGAGAAATCATTACCACAGGGAGGGCACTTCAAAATCCCACATGACCCAGATACCTCCCAGCAGGCCCCACCTGCAACATTGGGGATTACATTTCAACATAACATTTGGAGGGGACACACATCTAAACCATAGCACTCAGTATATATTGACTTACCACATGCATAGGACAATGAACCTATTATGGTTTCATAAGGAGCGGGAACCACGCGTCTGCTCCATCACCTACCCACCACCAACCCCTTTAGATGAGCCTCCTCTGGGTGACCCAAGTAGGCAATGGGTTTCACTCCTATCACTGGAAATTTCTCTCCAATTTCCTTTATACCTAGTGCTTATTCCTCACCACCGTTTCTCCTCTCCCTCAACCATCTTCACCCAGTAGATTGGGATCATGATGATACTCTAATGATCATTCCTTTCTCACCTCCTTATATAGTTCAAACATCATCCAGCTTTTTTTTTTTTTTTTGAGACGGAGTCTCACTCTATTGCCCAGGCTAGAGTGCAGAGGTGTGATCTTGGCTCACTGCAACCTCCACATCCCAGATTCAAGTGATTCTCCTGCCTCAGTGTCCCCAGTAGTTAGGATTACAGGCCTGTGCCACTAAGCCAGGCTATTTTTTGTATTCTTATTAGAGACGAGGTTTCACCATGTTTGCCAGGCTGGTCTTGAAGTCTGGACCTTAAGTGATCCACCTACTTCAACCTTCCAAAGTGCTGGAATACAGGCATGAACCACTGTGCCCGGCCATCATTCAACTTTTTAACCCAGAAAAGATGGAAGGCATGTATTTCTCTAAAACAGTCTGGAAAACTACAGGCTGCCACTTGTTTTTATAAGCAAAATTTTACTGGAATACAGCCACACTCATTAGTTTACATATTTTCTATGGCAGCCTGTGGCTACAGTGGTAGAGTTGTGAAGTTGTGACAGAGAGCTTATGGGCTGCAAAAACTAAAATGTTTGCTATCTGGCCCTTTATAAAAAAAAAGTTTTGCCAACTCATCAGCTAAAATATAGGTGGATTTCTTGTCAGTCTTTTAAGTTCTGAAAGAGCTTCATTAGTATATATATGTAGCCTTTATCATTTACTCACTCTAAATAAAAACTACATTTGAAACGAAGAGAATTGCATGGCTATACTATAAGGGCAACTTTTGCATCTTCTAAAATAGTTTCTAGTCTTACAGACTTCATGAAAAATATGAAGAAAACTGTGTGTTTGCTTTGAAGGACCAGAAGGAAGAATAGAGTCTTGCACTAGTCAGAAGTATCATTAGAAAGGGAAGAAAACAGATAATCTGTGGGGCCTATGAAAGCAACAAGGAGTAGTGAAAACTGCAGGACAAGAAAGCACAAGATCCTGCCTTCAGAGCTCCCTGTCAGAGGCCTTGGCTCCTCTCTTCACACCCTGTTCCCTAACTCAGAGTCTAGATTCCTCCCACCTTGGTCCTGATGCATTGGAATCTTTTACCAGACCATAGAATCCCCAGAGATGTCAGGAGACGGTGATCTGCTCCCACTGTGACTTTCTCACCTCCTTATATAGTTCAAACATCATCCAGCTTTTTTTTTTTTTTTTGAGACGGAGTCTCACTCTATTGCCCAGGCTAGAGTGCAGAGGTGTGATCTTGGCTCACTGCAACCTCCACATCCCTGCTTTCTATGTGGGAGACCTTGGGCAGGTCACTGAGTGCTTCTGTCCCTTAGGGTTCACACACCTGTAAACTGGTGGGTGGGTAGAGTTATCTTACTGGGCTTGCCCAACAGTAATCAAATATTATGTTTTTTAAAAGCCTATATGAAAGGTAAGGTGTTATGAAACTGTCAGTGTTTTTGTTTTTGTTAAAATGTCTGAGTTGCAAATGAAATTTTTTAATCTATCCAACATATAGAGTTAACTGATATGTGAAAACTGAAGTACCTTATTTCATATTTCTCACATCCGTTTTTGCTTATTTATTGTTATTGTATTTAACTTTTATATGGATTAGAGAAAATATAGAAAATAACTGAATTTTTACCATAATAAAATAATTCTTCAGTGGGTAGGAAAAAAACTTCAAAAATTATATTTCATTGTGACCCATTTTTTACTGTTTGTCGTTTGTTCAGCTTTCACTTTTATGCCTTTGTTTACAGAGAAACAATCTTGCAGATGGCAATTTTCCTTGTAATCAGTTATTGTCCTATCTGAGTCATCGCCAGACATGGCATTACAGTAAATAGTGATTCTGAAATTGCTTCCAGGCAGATGTGTTGTGTAAAGTTAAGAACACTGGCTGATAACCTTTCTGGTTGTTGAAGCAGTAGGGAGAAAGTTTTGAATAGATACACAACTTGAAATCAGAAAATGGCAAAGGAAGACAGACTTTGTGCTGTATGATTTTAACCAAATATAGTTTTTGTGTGCCTATGGATGGAATATTTTTTAAAAGATAAATAATATTTGAATAAAGGACCTTTTATAGTGAACTATACATGTTTTCTTAGAAACACCATGCATATGCGTTGTTAAACACAACCTTGACCTTGTACAGACATTTGTATTACCTTGGCCACTCAGGTTGCTGTGGTCTCATGTGTATGACTAAGCAAACCAAACTCCTCTAAGCATTGGTTTCTCCAGTGTAAATTGGAGGTTCTCTTATCCCTCACTTTAAGACATGGGGTATTTCTTTGTTTCACAAATATGTTTTTACAACAATGTATGCTCAAATATAGTTTTTATTATGTATCATAAAGTATTGTCATAGTTTTACAGTGAACTACAAAGAGAAGTTCATTAATTTATTCAATTAATGTTTATTGAACACCTATTGCATGCTGGGCCCTGACCAATAATAATAATATTCCACAAAACAGAGACCAAAGTGATAGGCTGGAATATGCATTATAAATATTTTGTGGGTCAATTTATCTTAAATAAGCTACCAATTTAGTTCTTGTTTCATGATTTTATAATTTACCAACCTTATTTATATTTTTTATTACTTTAATCACACTTTATTTTTTATTTTATTGCAATAGGTTTTGGGGGAACAGGTGGTGTTTGGTTACATGAGTAAGTTCTTTAGTGATGAATCTGAGGTTTTATTCTGGTGCACTGCACCCAAAGTGTAGTCTTTTATCCCTTTCCACCCTGTAGCCTTTCCCCCAAGTCCCCAAAGTCCCTTTTATCATTCTTGTCAACAGGCTTATGTATAATCCTTTACAATTTTCTTGAAACTCTTTCTTAATTATAGACACTAGTAAACTAAACTTTTGTGTTGCATATGTAGAAATTAAGCTTAGACAAGATTTCACACTTTATTTATTTATTTTTTGAGACAGAGTTTTGCTCTTATTACCCCGGCTGGAGTGCAATGGCGCGATCTCTGCCTCCTGGGTTCAAGCAATTCTCCTGCCTCAGCCTCCCGAGTAGCTGGGACTACAGGTGCACGCCACCATCCCCAGCTAATTTTTTGTATTTTTAATAGAGGCAGGGTTTCACCATGTTGACCAGGATGGTCTTGATCTCATGACCTCGTGATCCACCCGCCTCGGCCTCCCAAAGTGTTGGGATTACAGGCTTGAGCCACCGCCGCCAGCCGATTTTACACTTTATCACCAATCAAGACTCATGACTTTTCCTTACATTAACAAATTTCTAACCATTAGCATTAGTTAAGCCATCATTTATTTCTTTGGTAATCTTCCCTGCTGTGGACATTCCTAAGATGGCCCACTTTTATAGAAAGAACAATTTACAAACTGCTAAATTAGCATCTGATTATAATTTAAAAAGTAGTCTAATAGATAGTCTCTATCTATAATGTGTTAATCACAAACCATTAGCGATAACTAATAAATTAAAATGGATGAATTGTTAAATTCTGCTTATACTTACCCAAGTGTGTTTATGTCTATCCTATGTCCTTCAAGCCAACCTACTCACCAACTTAATTTAGCAGTGTAACCCTTTAGCCAGGCATTAGCCTTAGGAATCAAAGTATTAACTGAAGGCTAATTTATGCATTTGTTCATTATTCTTCCCGCCATAACGATTGTCTGGCATCTGGTTAATTATTACATAGAAACATACACATCTACTCCAAGGCAAATCCACAGATACACAAACGCTTGGGTAAGCCTTATGAAAAACTAATTTGGAGGACATCCATATCATAAAGAGTCTGTATTTCAACAAAGTTTGCCTTAAGTCATAAGTTTTCCAAGTTTATTTGAAATATGACTTGACTTATAAAATGTGAATTTATTTGATTTTTCAGAGTAAATCTGTATGAAACAGGATATATTTAGGTTGTGCGTATATTTATTTATGAATGATATGTGAGACCTGCATATAATTGTTGTTCTTAAAAAGTTAGCTTGTTTACTTTGAAACAAAGGAAATGGTGGTTTCTTCCATGATATGAAACATATAACAAAGGATACTTCAAACAAATAGCAGGTAGTTTGGCCTCAGTAATATGATCAAGTTTTTAAAAAAAAAATATTTTACTTCATAGGAGATACATCAAATGAGCAAAGAATGTCAGCAAGAGGCAAAACTTCGGATGTAGAAGCAAACCAATCTTTGGAGGTAAGTGAAACAAGGTTAAGTCCTTTTTGGTGAAACTGAACAAGTCACTATGATTACATATACCTCTGAGGATAAATAGTAACTTCTGCTCTTGCTATGCCATAGTGCCTGAATACAGAGAAACAAGTGGTCTGCTGAAAGTCAGTGGATAGCAGCACAGGGAGTGACTTCCCAAGTACTAAACTCATTTAGTGCTGGAAGTGGAAACTTTTTGTTAAAACGAAACAGAAATAGAGTCCTTAAGTTAAAACATTTAAACTATTTTTGAGTGATGATTTACAAAACATTTCAGTAAATAGGCAGTACATAAACTTAGAGAGAAAGGCTTAAAAATAATCCATTCAACACACTATTGCCTTACTATTTCTAGCATCAAAGTACACTCCTTGAAAGTATTCTGTAGAAAAACTAGGGTATTTGTTCTTTTTCATATGAGAAAACTATTGGCTCTTTAAGGACAAATGTGAAATTGTTGTTAGGATACTTTTGAATACTATATAGAAATATACTAACATTATTTAATCACCGAAATAATCGTCTTTAAGACTTAAGGGCGACCGGGCGCGGAGGCTCAATCCTGTAATCCCAGCACTTTGGGAGGCCGAGGTGGATGGATCACGAGGTCAAGGGATCGAGACCATCCTGGTCAATATGGTGAAACCCTGTCTCTACTGAAAATACAAAAAATTAGCTGGGCATGGTGGCGTGTGCCTGTAATTCCAGCTACTCAGGAGGCTGAGGCAGGAGAATTGCCTGAACCCCGGAGGCAGAAGTTGCGGTGAGCCGAGATTGTGCCATTGCACTCCAGCCTGGGTAACAAGAGCAAAACTCCGTCTCAAAAAAAAAAAAAAAGACTTAAGGGCAATTTTAAGTACTGGGGTGGAATGATTATCTTGAAATTTGAACCTCTCTACACGGTGTCACAACTCTACTTGTATTCTAGTTGTAGCACGTGAGGGTATTGCTGCATACAACTAGAGGGAAGTCAGGGACCTCGCCAGTGTGATTCCCCATGCATGGTTCCTTAATGCCTAGCACATAGTAGGTGGTTGAAAAGATTTGTTAAATGAATAAGTTAGTACAATCATGAGTTATAAGTAGAGAGTAATATTTAAGAGATACTTTTATTTTTTATATTTATATTTTTCACAGTGAACAAATATTTTACAATCAAGGAAAAATCATCTTATTTAAAACATCTTATTTAAAGATGTGATATAGGAAGTAAATTCATGAGGAGGAAGAAAATAATCATCTTTCTCATAAAACTGTTCATTCTTTCACTTATGCATGCAACAAGTACTTATTAAATACTGACTATACTCAAGGTGCTGTACATGGAGCTGAATATATAATGGTGAAAGGAAGATACAAGGACAAAGAACAATGTCCAGGTTATATGTTGAAGCAACTTTATCTCTTTCATTTATTCAAACATTTAGTGAGGCTGGGCGTAGTGGCCCATACCCATGGTCCCAGCACTTTGGGAGGCCAAGGAAGGAGGATCACTTGAGGCTAGGAGTTTGCGACCACCCTGGGCAACACTGAGAGACTCATCTCTACAAAAAATTAAAAATTTAGCTGGGTGTGGAGGCATATGCCTGTAGTCCCAGCTACTCAGAAGGCTGAGGTGGCAGAATTGCTTGAGCCCAGGAATTCAAGGCTGCAGTGAGCTGTAATCGCCCAGCCTGGGTGGCAGAAACATGTAGTGAGTGCTGACCAAAAGTAGCATCTCTGATAGGAAATAAAGGCGGTTATGTTTGGGATTTGGGAAACAACCACCGGGATGGTTCAAAAATCATCCATGATTACTTGAGTTTAGTTGCTTAGTGTCTTCTTTTATCTGGGGTGCTACAGCAAAATACCATAAACTGGATATCTTATTAACAACAGAAATTTATTTATTTAGTTCTAGAGGCTGGAAAGGCCAAGGTCAAGGTGCTGGCAGATTTGTGTCTTGTGAGGGCCTGTTTTTTCTTTTCTCTCTGGCTGTGTTCTCACATGATAAAGGGAGAACTCTGGTCTCTTCAGCCCCTTATAAGGGCACTAATCCCGTTAATGCAGACTCTCCTCTCCCACCTCTCACCTCCTAATACAATCACCTTGGGGATTAGGTTTCAACATATGAATTTCAGAGGGACACAAAACATATAGACCATAGCACTTAGTTATGTGATTCATTGGAAATGTCTGTAGAACTTGACTATTTTTCAAAGTTGATTGGTTGATAGAAAGAATTCCAAGACTAATTCTTAAGGAAAGAAGCTTTTAAGATTACAGTCCACAGAGATTTGAAACAAACTCATTATTGTGCTACTTTCTAGTCACTCTATTAATATAGTCAAGTGTTCATCATTAGGCTGGATGTATATACTCATGCAATAACAGATATTTCAAAAGTACCTCTATTCAAGTAGCAGCTGGGCAATGAGAGGACAGTGCTTGCTATCAGAGATCTCACCGATGTAGGAAAAAAAAGTGGAGTGGGGACTATAAATGAGACCACAGGGTTAAATCGCAATGCAAGAAGAAAATAAAATACTTTTAGAGGCTATATATGTTTGCCACAGAAAACTCAAGTAATAATTTACCTTGACAGTAAGCATCTAACATGGGATTCGTTATTCCTCCCCTGTAAAAATACAAAAATGAAAGCACTGCTGAATACTCCCTACCCTCTTTGTACCTTGTTACAGTCAAAATGAGTCTTATTCAGCCTCCTAGATTTAAATTCTGTGAAGTTGATGACTCCTAAAATATGTCTCTATCTAGACCTCTCCCCTGAGTTCTAGACTCTGTACCCAAGTGCCTATGTAACAAATTTCTACACAGTTCAGCCTTTCCTTAGCCACAGAAGAACTATTGATACCTGGCCCCATCACCCTGAAGCTTCTCTGTGCCCAAGTTAATATCACCACCTTCTATCTATATAGTGATTTAAAACCAAATTCCCTGAGGTACCCTTGGCTCTTCTCTTTTCCTCACACTGCACATCCAGTTTATCAGCAAGTCCTGCCATCTTGCCCTCTATATCTGGAATGTGACTGCTTCTCAACATCATCACTGTTAGAACAGTCTAAGCTACCCCTTTTACCAGGCTCCCATCCTTTCTCCTTTAGTCCATTGTCCACATAGCAGACAGAAATATGTCAGATCACATCACTCCTTGGCTTAAAAGCTGCTGACTACCCACTGTAACTAAAGTAAACACTCAGCTCTTTGCAGTGGGCTACAACGAACTCCATTCTCTCACTATTCTCATTTCTCTCCCATCCCCATATCCATCCACCAACTACCTGCCATTCTGTCTCTTGATGATGTTAAGCCTTTTCCTATCTCAGGCTTTGTATTTGCTCATCCTTTTTTTAAACAGAGCTTTACTTGGCTTCCTCCTTATCATTCAAGTGTCACTTTTCATGACTACCTCAGCTAATGTGTCCCTCCCCCCAGTCACTGTCACATAACCCTGTCTTATTTTCTCCATCACATTTATCACTGTCTCAGATTATTCATTTGCTGACTGCTTCTCCTGACTAGAATGAAAACAGACTTTGTATGTCTACAATAGTGTCTGGTACATAGAAGGTACCTGATAAATAATTCTAACTGATCACCTAGATTTTATTTAATGTCATCATCCATCTGCCAGGTTAAAGGCCTAGATGTCTTCTTGACTCCTTCTTCTCATCTCCTCATCAAATCCATCACCAAATCCTAATGTTTCTGCCCACCAAATACCTTCCAAATATGGTTTCTCCTATCCCAACTAGCTCCTCCTCTGGTCACTAGACTATTATTAGATGAGCAGTTTCCTCCCCAAATCTCTTTCTAAAAAAGAACAGCAGGTTTTTTTTTTTTTTACTTCTATGCTCCCCACTAAAATCCCTTGAAACCTGCACCATGAAGCTTAAACCTTGAACCCTGTTCTAATGTCACTTTGTTTATGAGCCCTTTTCTCTGCTCCCCCAGCCAGAGATGACCCCAGTGTCCTCTTAATGCTTATGTTGTCTTTTATGACTTCACTACAGCACAGGTTCTTGAAAGGCATGGTCTAGGGCTTAGTTAGCTTTATGACCTCAGCAGCTATCATACTGTTAGATGTATGTGTTGTAACATAAATGCCCTGTCAATGATTTCTGGGTGGATAAATGAAAAAATAAATAATTCACTTATATTTATTAAATTCTGTTTTCTACTTTACAGGGTAAACACACAGTTATATCTTTTCTCACCATAAAAAAAGTTTTTCTCGCATTTCTTTGGAGTTACCCATTAAAAAATCTGTTAATTTACCTTATTTTTGGTACTCTTACTACATTAGCAGGGAAAAGTTTGGTAACTTCAGTTAGTTTTTAAAAACACACATCTGATTAAGAAATCATAACTATTATGTTAACTGCAAAGATTCAAATTATTTTAATTTTTAATGACTATATAAGCAATGTTGAAATATTCTCTATAATGAAAACATAATTAGTATGGGTTCCATAAAGTTTAAAAATAATGTTTGTAGTTGCCAAAATATAACTCACTTTTCTAAGAACCCTTTGGAGAAGGTGGTTTTTAGTATACCAAAAGAGGTTTTTTTGGCAATAGATTGCCTCTTTATTTTCAAGGAATTGTGTTAGGCACGGGGGTAGGGAGGATACAAAGATATATAAGTCTCAGTGACTCTGACTTATTGATGCAGGAATTCTCAATCTATTCATAGAAAATTTTTTTTCTTTTTTTTATGGGAGCTGTCTGACATTCATGGAAAATTTAACAAATCACAGTAATGTAAAGTGAAATAAAGTAAGTTTCTTACGCTTCATAACTACGAAGGTAACTGTGAGATTTTGATGGAAGAAGGATATTGTCCGGGGGACTTAAAAAAGGCATCATGCATTAGATGAGCTTTGAACCATGAATAATTTTGTCTGCTTATATGATTCATTTTTTGTGATTAAGAAGCTCCTAGGAAATGAAATTCTTCATTAAGAACATTTAAGAAATACAGA